ACCCTGTACAGTAGAACCCCTATTAAGGGGACACCTTCAGGACTAAAAGAAGTGCCCCCCCCCCCCTAGTCCCAATCATCCAAAAATGAGGAAAATAGAATTCACTGCTCAAACGAAAGCGTGTTGTATTTGTTTTACTATACAGTGCCTCATAAATATTAGACAGCAAACTGTCTGTCTATGTTAGCCATTTCGATCTGTGAGGGTAAAATTACGCAGTTTGCATATGGGTCATGTAGACAGGGGTGCAGTTGTCATTTTTTGGTAGTACTTTTTTCACTGTGTATGCTTAAAATTGGCCTGCCCAGTAGTAGAAATTACTGCACCACCTACCGGGTCTAATTGACCAATGAAATGTTGTTATTACCTACAGTAATATGAGGATTATATATTATTAAATATATTATTGCTTTACAATTAACATCTCGACGAGATTTGATTGACAGATAAACTGACTAATCAGCGAGCATCATTTAGTCGCGTGATCAAAAACTTTTCCTCGGACATTTTAATTTCCTTAGACACGCGAAACATACATGAGCCTAGGCCTAGGGCCTAGATGTCTATGCTTGGTTATAGATAGGGATATGCCATAAAAAATTCCTTTATGCCTATTATACGTTTTTAACTGCCAAAAATATGGTAAAACGGTGTCAATGAGACTTTGCAATTCAGACGATCGTTATCCAGAATGATTAAAAGGAGGAATTAAGTTTATCCAGTTCTTGAAGCCCAAACGCAACATTGAAAAGTGCAAACGATGGATTTTAAAGCGTGTAATCGTGTAAATCACCAGCGCGCATCAGTGACTTCGCCTTTGCCGACAACAAGGTTGACTGAATGTGGCTTTTACAACAATTTCCCCGTCTGTTCCATGAAACAGGTTAACACTATGAATATATGATTCATTTGCATATCGCCTACCCTGAATTCTCTTTCTTAAAGAAGGTTGATAGCAAAGAAAATGTTCACTGAACCACTTGGTAACTCGGTAAGTTTAGCCGCCATATTGTCTAAGGTTTTCATGACTTTGCGGGCGGGGCTTCGCGTCCTTGTCGACATGTCAATTGAACTTGCTCCTGTAAAGTATTTTTAAAACATCCAACCCTAGACTCATATAAATTCATGTTTTAAACTTGAAATATCTTCATCTACACACACAGAAAGTCTTTAAATCAACTGCGATCATCTGTGACTACAAAGGTGCTCAATTTCCAGGTGCCAAGTGAACACCTTTATACAGTTGTGCCACCTGTACAAGATCCTAATGGTAATTACATCATCAATAGCACAAATGGTCTCTTCGTACAGATGGAACAGTCAACTGCTGATGAGGTCAGCAAAAACAACTTTAAGGTAGAGTAACAGTTGTAATAAAGATATGTTTTATGTACCATATTTATATGCTCACATATAAAGATATCCATGTATATAGGACAAACACCGACTTTGAGAAGGTTTTTGGACAAACCCACCATTTAACCGTTAAATTATTTCCTTTCGATACGATCCACTGGAACCAAGCGTGCATTTAGCCTTCAAATCGTCTATATAAGGCCTTGGTCTAGGCTGGGTAAAGTTCATGAATTTCATTGTATCAGCGTTTAAAAAGCATTTAATTGAAACTTAACTGGAAAAATTAAACAACCGTTTTGTATGGCATTCATATTTGGCTCGTCAATTGTACAAGGTGACCATACTAACAGTTAGTAGCTTCATTTCAGTACTAAATTCCCATGTTAAGGACAATCCGCACATAAGACGAACATGATTTTAAAAATCAAAAAATGTGTATGTTGAGCATATAAGACAAATCCTAATTTATTATTTTAAGCCTTGTCTTACGCGAGAGTATACAATAAACAATATATGATTTGTCCAAGGGCATAATCATGTCATATAAGGTTTGCCATCCCAAAACCAGTGTATTGTCAATAAATTGTTTTAAAAACAGAGCAGATAGATTGATTGCACAGTGATTTCATTAAGAAATTTGACAGCATTAATAGTGGCCTTAATATTGACCTAGGCTTTCTTAGTCATTACAAAATGTAATAGGCATTTTTCGTTTTGACTACGCGGCCAGTCTACTACGGAATAATAGAGCGTAACAGACATCTGCGCATGCTCACAAACCTTACTGGCTAAATCGGCGTTGTGATAGCTTCCGCGACAAGCCCAATTTCTAAATTTGGTGTAGTGGCGACTACCCTAAAATTGACCAATCAGATAACCGGATTCTTTGGCAAACTGCTGGTAATTTTTTTGTTGGGGGTTGCAATTTTCATTGCATCCGCGATCGAGCATTGTTCGTTCAATAATTAATTAATTATTAAAACAAGTGAGTAATTAAATGTTTTATGAAGGCCTATTTATACACATACAATAAATGAGGAATGAATAGTCGCAGCATAAAATTAGGTAAATCAAAGGATAGTGAAAAAAGGGGCCTCTTAGGCTTAGCCTAGGCTTGTCAGGGTGGATTTTTGGTAGGAGAAAACACATTATCTGGTGCCGCTAGCTAGGGCATCTGCGGCCATGATATCGTGGATCAAGCCTTGCTATATAAATACCTCTGTTTGAAATTATTATGTACATTTATTTGAACATCATCGTTGCATTTGGCAAATTGCCTGAGCAGGCCTGACACCCCTCTTCCCCCGGTTCCTGACTCTTTTGACACCTAGGCCTACAGTAGGCTTGGTTAGGCTAGGCCTAGCCTGTAGGCCTATCCTAGCCAACAGCGATACATCACTCAGTGTTTTCTGGAAACTTTTTATTTTATATTATTTGATTAAAAGTTTTTTTTCACATTTCCTTTTTCAAATATAAAACAAGGGAACATTGTTCCCTGGTAATAAAATCAACTAATAACTCCCTCTCTGTAGGCCTACGTATGTGTGCTGCGTCGTCGTAGTCGCCTTAAAAAAACGAAAACAGCTCTTGGTGTAGTACGCAAACAGTGTCTTGCCGTTGCCGTCACGGTCCATTAGTTCGTAGTAGACTGGCCGTGTAGTCAAAACGAAAAATGCCTAATGTTTCTGTACATCCTATTGCCTGTTGATCCTTTAGTGAGATTGTTTATCTATTGTTTGTGCTACTCAATTTCAGCACTTATTAGCTAATTCATGATAAGCCTAATTAGTTATGCTTAAGTTATTTCCTCTCTGTTTGTTCTTGTTACACTTCACACACCTGATGAAGCTGGCATTGACTACCAGCAAAAGCTCGTGTCCAATCAAATTACATCTTTAGTCTGAGAGTGCTGCCTCTTCATTGCTTGTTTAATTTTTGTTAAGACTAAACACAACTACCACTACTGTACTTTTGTCTCTAAATGAAATAGAAAACTTCAAACTTGCTCTGATGATATGATAAAAATAACGTAAATTACTGTAGGCCTACTTGTTTTAATTTCAGGGTTTTATGGCATTTCAGTACAAATTGCTTGATTCAAACTTTTCACACCTCTTTGCAATGTCCTCAACAAATCGAACAAATTCCCTCACCAGCGTTGTGCCTCAAGAAACTGTGGATGGCAGCAGACTCTATGGAAAATTCACCTCAAAATTTGCAGAGATTTGTGACATCATGTGCAATATTCCAGGTACAATTGCTCACTTAATATAGGCCATGGGCTGGAGAGAGAGGGGGGGGGGGTGACCGTGCACCCCCCCCCCTTCACAGTTAAACTTCCTTGGTATCATTTTGTTCCTACGGGCATATAGAACAAAAAAATTGATGTTAACAAGAAAAATATAGGGATGCATTGTATGTGTTTTATGGTCAATGCTTTTTTTGGGCGGAGGGGTAACATTTATGCCCATAACTTGTGAAATCCCATCAATGTTATTTTGGTAGCAATGTGTAGCATATATGTTACTTAATCATATGCAGTTTAAATAAAATTAATCAGACAATTATTAAGGTCACTAGAGGTCAAAAGGTCATCTACCTTTTTCTAAAATGCAAATTTTTTCATAAAATATCAATAAACTTCAATGTCATATGTCTAATTTTGGATGTATTTGATACGAATTGTGTTTTTCTTGTAGTTATTAACATATAGAATACAAAAATTGAGGTTAACAAGAAAAAAATTAAAATGCATTATGTATTATTGTCAATGTTTATCCGAGAAATTTGTAATAAACAACAGTTTTTGGGGTAGGGGGTAACATTTATGCTCATAACTCTTGATTTAGTCAATGGATTTGTATGATGTTGGTATCAACATTTAGCCTATAGATTGGTCAGTCATTCAAATTGAAAAATTTTGAAACAGGCAGAGAAATTGACGTAGCTAGAGGTCAAAATGTCATTGACCTCCACAGAAAAGTTGTAAATTTATTCCCAATTCGCTCACAAACGTTTACAAATCTACAGTTAAAAGTAGATTTGATTCCAATTAGTATTTTCTATTATAAATAAGCATATGGAATATAAAACAATGATATTATCAAGAAAAATGTATAAATTGATTAAATGTACTACTGTCATTGTGTTACAATCTTAGAATTTGTAATCAACAACAGTTTTTTGGGTAGGGGATAACATTAAATGCTCATAACTCTTGATTTACTCAATGGTTTTTTATATGTTGGTATCAACATTTAGCCTATAGATTGGTCAGTCATTCAAATTTAAAAAGTTTTGAAATTGGCAGAAATTGACGCAACTAGAGGTCAAAAGGTCATTGACCTACACAGAAAAGTTGTATATTTATTCCCAATTCACTCACAAACATTTACAAATCTACATTTGTGAGTAGATTTCATACCAATTAGTATATTCTATTATTAATAAGCATATGGAATATCAAAAATAATATTAACAAGAAAAATGTATAAATTGATTAAATGTATTACTGTCATTTTTGATTACTTGTGTAATCAATAGCGATGTTTGGGGTAGGGGTTAACATTTAAGTTCATAACTCATGATTTATTGGATAGATTTGCATGATGTTGGTATTAACATGTAGCCTGTAGATTTTCCAGCCATTCAAATTTAAAAGTGTGCAGAAATTGACGTATCTAAAGGTCAAAAAGCCGTTGACCACTGTACAAAAATGCAAATTCTTCCAAAAAACCATGGCAGATATTCTTTATGACAATATATGGAAATATATAGTGGTGAAAGTTATGTTAAAAGTTTCCCACGCGAATAAAATTAACGAGCGGTACTGGATAAAGACAACTTGGTTTCTTGCTTCAAACAAGGTATCCATTCATAGAAGTCTTATGAAGATGAGCCTATCCAAGTGATGAACCTAAAAGGGTCGGGACCAGGACATAAAAATGTACATTCGACTTTAGATTGACAAAGAAATATGTTAAATACAGACACGATATATACATAGGCCTAG